TAATTCCTGTATTTACCACAATTGATAGATTGGATCTGTAGTTACATACCATAGTTTTCTCTTTAGATTGTGTATTTTAAGGTTGATATTCACTGCTTAATTGAATTTGCAGGAACTAAATTCAGGTAAAGATCGGGTATGTGCTTAACTACACAAGACTGTTATTTTTCTTTTTGAATATCTATATTCCGAGTCCACTGTCATTTATTTGGAACCAGTATGTTTGTTTGATGATGTAAACATTTCAGTTGAGAGCATTACAACATGAGCTTGGATGCAAAAATGGTTTGCTAAGAGCAAGGCAGTTGCAGCTTGAGGTAATTATTGCAATTTTAAGGCGTTCGTAGCAGCAAAATAGTCAGTATATTTTATTGTCGATTAATTGGTTTTTTTTTTTTTTTTTGCTTACCCAGGAAAAATCAAAAATGAAACCTTGCCAAGACATTGATGCTGAGGTATAAGAGTTGATCTGTGAATGGTTCAGTATTTTTCTGTTCAACATGTAATTTTACCTGCATATCTAATCTGCAGTTGTTCGATATATATTGTTACCTGTATATCTATGTATACATATTGTATGTTGTCATCGACTTTTGGGTTTAAATTTTTAATCCGTATAATGTCTGCTTAAAATTTCTGAAGGTGAATTTGATCAAATATGAAGAACCAGGTGAGTCCTTGAAGGAAGATGGAGGAGATAAAGAACCTCGAAATACAAGGAAGAGGTCACAATCATACTGTAAGTACATTTTCTAAACTGCTTCATTTAAGTTTAGGAAGGAAGATTGGCATGCTAATCCCTTTGGGTTATTCTAGGTTCGTCTGAACAAGTCCAATCTAAGGATAAGGCTGTAAAGAAAAGGTTTTTCTCTGGTCACTCTTACATAGTCTAGATAAAATCCTAAAACATAGCTTCTCATTATATTGCAGAAAAAGCCTTGTTTGATTTTCTCCCTTCCCCTGCTTTTTTGGGGTTGTCTTGACAGGTCCTCTTTGAGGAGGCAATCTTCCAGGTTTAAAGCTGAAGAAAAAGAGCCTGCTGAGGATTTGTTCGAGATACATGATGCCAGATTTCCAGTATGTTCATTGCCTGATGATCCAGTCCTGGAGGATAATTCAGTTTCAGTAAGTGGAGCAGTAAACAACAAAGTTAAGGAATGCATTTCTGCGCCAATATATGAACCTCAACAGTTTGGAAGATCTTCTCTCGGCAGGCCATCACGCCAAGCAGCCAAAAAGGTCCAATCTTACAAGGAAATCCCACTAAATGTCAAAATGCGCAGAATCTAGAAGTAATAATTTTGTAATTACGAGCTTGTTTGAGAGGAATTTTAATCCAATTGAAATTGAAAATATAGTCATTATTGGGTCTCACTCGTCTAATAAAAGTAAACAATAACGACTAGTTTTTCAATTTTAATCCGATTTTAATCTCTACCAAACAAGCTCTACAACTGGGACATAATGTAGCAAGTAGTGGGGGCAAATCCAGGTGTGCATTATCATCCTTTTCACCAGACATGGCTTCTTTGATATCAACTGTACTGACCAGTGGAATTAGAAGGCGCTTTTACTCAATTTTGTATGTCATGTAAAAATATTCTGAATGAAATGTACAATTGTAGCTTAACTACTTCATTTTACATTATATGCTTCAACCTTCCTTTCTAACCTTCTTAATTTAATTTCCTCGTCCAATGATACCTTCTGAGGTCAGTATGTTGTCTCAACAATTCACAACGTTGTGTAGCTTCAATCTATGCCCATTCTATCTAAGCCAGCTGGACCTGCATGACTCTTCCTTTGTTAACTTCACTGTTGTTGTAATATTGATATTCCATTCTAATGCTTCTTCAAATGTTTTAGGCTCTTGAAGTTTAATCCACAATTGCTCCATATCAGCATTCTATTAAATTTTTGTATATCTTATATTATCATTTTTACATTTTCTGCTATGACCTAGACCTTATATTTAAATTATACAACCTTTCCAATGCTCAGATTAAACCTTGATTTATATTTATTTATTTGACTCCAAATTAAGCTGATTTTATATTTAGATCTGAGTATGACCTCGGCCTTGGCCTATACCCCACTGTAAATACATGCTAGTCAATTGTTAAATTTGGGAGTGGTTCGATATGTGCCATGCTTTGATCTAATGCATGCAGGGTTCCTATTTGTGCATTGAAATAATTGTGACTGGAATTCTCATGTCTAGTGCTTAGTGTTAAGGGATATATATCCCATATCGATAAATGATGTTGATGCAGACCAATTAATAAAGATTTTGGACTACTCATCTTAATAAGGTTGACCTTTTAAGATGAAATCTCAAATCTTAACATGGTATCAGAGCTAGGTTATGCTCCAACGAGCGATTCGATAGTTAAGACTCTAAAATGAGCACATGGATTTCAAGATTGAGTTGCTCAAATGAGCCACCATCTTGCGGGGGAGTGTTAAGGGATATATATCTCACATCGATAAATGATATTGACACAGACTAATTAATAAAGATTTTGAGCTACTCCTCTTAATAAAGTTGACTTTTTAAGATGGAAGTCCAAATCTTAATACCTAGTAGAGGTGTAAATTGGGTCTTGTTGAGCTGGCACTGTTTGGTTTCGTGGGTATCCCGGCTACTTGGGCATGGGCCTAAAGCACTCAGTCCGGCTGCCTAGCACATTTTGACACCCTAATTACTGCTTAGAAGTTTGTTGGTGGTTCAAGACTAACATCTTGTGGTAATGTGCATTTTTGTAGTTAATGTTGCATTTATTTTACTTTCAGTTTGACATATCAGAATTATGAAGCTGGTTTATTGATCCAACCACATTTGCGTTTTCACCCCTTCGTTACACTGATAAAGTACTTTTCAAAACAAGAAAAAATGACAATGTTATCATTGGTAACTCGTGGAATTGTTATGAAATCTTTTTTATTTTTCCTTGCTATTTGTCTTTAAAGGGAGATTGTGACCAAAATACATTATAGAAGGATCTGGTGGTGCGGATCCTTTAGTCGGGAGAATTGTGATCTAAAAGACATAAAATTGTGATGGAAATTATTGTGACTTTTGTTTCTCATAATAATATTTTTCCTACTTCATTCATTCATCTGTCCAAAACAAGAGCTTAGTTTAAGCAGTGCAATAGTTGACTTGGAAAGTGATAATTGATCATATGGATTCTGTTGCACATTCTGCATCCTATATTATATTATAGCTTGCTTAGTTGCAGCAAACATGACAGCTTGAGTTGCTGAGAAGTTACTGTATCCTATCCTATATTATATTACAAGGGGCGGCTGTTAAGCTATTGAATATCTTTAAAAAAAAAAAAAATTGTCTTTGTGGAGAAGACAGGCAGGAGAAGTGGGAAAGAACAAGGCCATGTTTGATGATTGATTAAGTGATTCCTTGCTTGCCCTAAAACCGGCATTTCCCCTTACGTGCAACACACAATCACCCTCCAATAATTCTACATCATACCCTGCAACTTCCCCTCCTTAAACACCCAGTTTGACTCCCCTCTAACCAAACTACTAACATTTCATGCATGTTCTCAAGATTTGAAGTGCATGAACCACAGGATGTTAATGATTGATGATTACATTTTGTTTTCAGTTTTTCGATTTTTGTTATGGTTTTTGCTTGGGTATTTATTTTTGGGATTTGTGCTTTAATAATTAATTTCTTTCGTATTTATGAAGATAGTAGAATCAACGAATTTGATTCATAAGAATGACGTCATTCTAGAGAAAGAGTGGGGGTATATCAAATTAAGTTGATCTACGGTAGTTACTAGAAACATAGTTGCTTTAGATCTCCTAGCATATCGTGTAACAAATATATAATAACGGTGAATAAAGATTCATGTAGTTGACTCCGAATTTATTGTAATAATTTCTAGTGATGGCGGACATAACTCACATGGATAAAATAAATTGAGATAGAAGATTTCACATTAGGAGAGCTTCGATAAATCGAGTCTTGAGTTTATGTAAATTTTGTTTCTGTTAATTTATTTATATTTTTACTTATGTTCTAAAAAATTGATTATGCGAAGGCTATACGTCTGATCCCTTTTATTTTGTGCCTTACTCAGTTACTTTATATTATTATTCAGGTAGGGATCACTGTCAAATCTTCCACAATACCTCGGGATTTACAAATGGAGTCGTAACTCATGAGTTAATATCAGTAGTAGTTGAAGTAAAATAGTGACAATTTTAATATGTCAAAATCCAGATGATTATTAAACCATAAATTGATTGAGAACATAAGTAAATTATGTTTAGTACAATTGAATCAGGGCTAATGGATAGAAAAGTATCTTATACAATGATCATTGATAAATGAGTAGGTCAACGGCAAATGAACTGTCAATATATACATATTTTTGATGTATCATTAATAGTTTAATACATATTATGGATATCCAATAAATTATATAGCCTATCCAACTTGATATTTTATTATAGTGTGATGCTACCAAAAATAGTACATGTCGACTTCCGAGCTTGACGACTGAGAATGAGTACGAACGTGGTCTTTCGATACCTGAAACAAAGGCGTCGAGGTGTGTCTTTATTGCCCTTCCGATGCTTAAGTCATAGAAAGAATTTGTAAAAAGATATGTGCTAAAGAATTATGTAAAACACGTACCTTAATAATGAATTGGAATGATATATGTATAGAGGTTGGTGATACAGTCCTAGTAGAATCACAATGTTGAGATCCCTAGGAGTTCTAACATTATTGGAAGTTTTCACTTGATTGGCTTCATATTGTCCACGTGTTTTGATAGAAGTAGAATTTTTTTAAGATGAAGTAACATACCAACACTAGAACTCTCATTCTCTTAGGATTGGACAAGCTTTGAGTCGGGGGATGCACGGTATGAGGTTTTAGCCGTGCTTTCGAAGAAGATGTGTGACCTAAAAATTGAATGCCCGAGGAGATGTGACCGAGGTCACGTGGCCTTTCAGTCAAAATGGGAGCCTCATGCTCGAGCATACCCACAGCCCACAAAATGTAATCCCGACTACAGACACCCCTCATTCTTCCTTAAATCTCTTCTCTGCGCGATAGGCGATTGAATTGAACATTGAATTTAAATACTGATTTGAATTATATTGTGAGTAGTGGGTATTAATACTTTTTCATTAGATTCTCTTATTGACGAGTTTGAAGTGATGAGGACAAGAAGAGATCAATTTCAAATGTCCAAGCCATCGCTATCATCTGTTATACAGATAGGCAATTTATTTTTTGTCTTTTTGATGTCTATCTAACGTTCATGTTTTCAATTTGTATAGCGTTAGACACATAGTCACATAGATGGACATATTATTTTTTTATCGACAAACTGATTGTTTTTTTGATCAGTCAATCTAACTTGCCTATTTTGGTACTCAAAATCGTTGTTTTCAATCCTCTTAGTTAAAAAAAATTTTCGAGCCCCCGCAAGATTGAAATCCTGACTACGTCCCTGACAGTGTTATCAATTTCATAAGCATTAATTTAATAATTAGTTCGAGTCTCTATTTATAATTGACAGTATACTACGTAGAATTGGAAAATGTTATTATTATTAATATTTTTTTTTTTTTTGGGTACGCTTCAACATAGAAGAGCTACCCACATATTATACAAGGGGTACCATCCTTAACCTGTAGCTCCAAGGCTTATATATGTAATAGGGGACGACCAGGGTATTGTCCCTCCTGTGTGATTTATGCTCCAATTGCAAACTCCATAGTTGATAATGCTATACAAAGCTTGCTTCTTGCTACTCAAGGATATGGTGCCATCACGAAGCAAGAAAGTACAATCAGATTGCTATTTGTGCCCAACTAAGTCGCTTTCTCAGTCAGCATCAGTGTCGTCTATTTTCATAAATGGGGAGTTGAATGGCTTCTCGTAGGAGCCAAAAGGCTTACCGATTGCACCATTCGATGAAAAGGGCAAGGAAAAGTGCAGGAGGAAGATTGCAAAGCCTGTGATTGTAAGCAATGCACTCGTCATGAATCTTTGTTTATTGTGAAACTTATGTCCCCACCTTTTTTGTCGCATTTTTATTTTTTACTTTTCTCCTTTGCTCGTTTTTTATTCATTTCCCGATCATCAGAACAAAGTGTTTTAGGTGCAAATATGGAAAATAAAGAGGTCTAGAGATAATTTTGAATTATGATATTTAAATAAAAAAGAGCTTACTAGTGAGCATTTAATCTCAATTTTATTGTTTAATAGTGAAGATAGTTGAAATAAAGGCAAAGGCAATCACCTTATAAGTTAAAATTAAACTGCCAAATATATCGTAGAAAACAACTTATTCGTTTAATATAATTTGAAGTTTCATATTAAAATATCAACATTGTAAAGAGGGTAGCCCTAATTTTTATATGTTAGTTAAATACTTACTTTCGTATTTATTCGATGGCATATTTGTCTCTTAATATTTCATTCAAAATGGTGACACGTTTGAACAAATCAATTTTGAAAATTGTATATTCATTTGAGTCCTAATCAGAGTCTGTTTGAGCCCCTTTTTTTTTGTCGAAAATGTATTTTGAAATAGTATTTTGATGGAGAATGTGTAGTTAAAATTAAAAAAAAGACAAAAAAAAATATATTTTAAAACTAATAAGGACCAAACAATGGCCTAATTGCTTGTTTGAGCTTCGTGTACTCTAATGAGTTCGCGAAATAGTCCAAATCCTTATAAATTTAAAATTTATCCTTAATAACATTGTGTAGTTGAGTTATTTTGGTGGTTTATTAATGTTGTAAATATGTTTTAACCTTTTGGCTGAATTAAACAAATGTTATTTAAGTGAGTTGGCAAAGTGGGAGGAACAGAGTGAGAAACGGACTAATAAATCATACAATTCTTTAACCCCACCCCACCCTACCCTCCTTCAATTTTGCACGCACATTTCAGTTACAACGCTATGTTGCTACATTTTGTGTGTGTTTTTATGAGGCTAAAAATTTTGGCTTATTTTTACAAAGAAATATAAGAATAATTATTTTGGAAGAAGCCTATTGACTTCCAAACCTCTCTCATTCACTAGCTATTTTTATAATAATCACCCCCACACTCCTCATAAGCTTCCTTCAATCTCTCTCTCTCTCTCTAAAGGTGGTGGCGGTGGTGGCGAGACATGGAGGGTCAGAACGAATTTGGTGTGGCGCCTAGAGATCTCTCTTACCTTGCAAAGGGCAAGAGAACCAAAAGACAGAGGCCTCAATCTCCAATTTCAATCCCCATCACTGCACATGATCCATCAAGCAAAGATCATTGGAACCATCATAATTCGAGCTCTTCAGCCGAGAGCACCACCACGGAAGAGGAGGACACCGCCAAATGCTTAATTCTCTTGGCTCAAGGTTATCACTTTTCATCAAAGAAAGTTGATCGTGATGATGATGATGATGATCAAGATTTCAAATTCAATAGCAAAAAGAACATAGAACCAGGCACATATGTCTATGAATGCAAGACGTGTAACCGAACTTTTCCTTCATTTCAAGCACTTGGAGGCCATAGGGCAAGCCACAAGAAGCCTAAAAACGCAACAACATTGTTTTTGTCCGATGAAAATGAAGATCGTGATCATGTCTCTGTCAGACAAAAAAACAGTTTGTCTTCTTCTCTATCTCTTCAATTGACCAATCCCACAAACAAGTCTTCCTCTTCAAGGAAGGTTCACGGGTGCTCCTATTGCGGGGCGGAGTTCATGTCTGGACAGGCCTTGGGAGGCCACATGAGACGACACCGCGGAGGGCCAGTCGCAACAAATACAACGTTGTCATTGAGTTCACCTAGTCCAGCTTCATTCGTCAATCGAGAGTCTGATAAATTATCAGAGAAGCCAAGAAATGGTTTGTCTTTGGATCTCAACCTTCCGGCCCCAGAAGATGACCCTAATCATACATTTACATTTAACTCAAAGAAACAGCAACAACAAAAAGAAGGAGGCCTTGCTTTGCACACTCCTCCAGCATTGGTTGACTGTCATTATTGAAAAAGGTTTGAATTTATTTTTTATACATTCATTGATATATACACATGAAAGTTAGCATTTTTATTCGAAACAAAAAAGAAATGAAAGAAAGAAAGAAAGTTAGCATTTTGCTCGTTGTGGAACTTAACCAATCGCCATACGACTCGAGCTGAAATATCACCATTGTTTTAGCTTTCATTTTGAGAAATTCATCGATTCTTTTGATCAAGTATTTTTTTTCACAATTAAATGGAGACTTGCAGTTCTTTGAATTTTATCTGCAATTTGTCTTTTATATGTATTCATATTTATTCTATTCTATTTNCTGAGTTACAAGAATCTCTCTCTCTCTCTCTCACACACACACACACACACACAGACAGATATCAAGAATTTAAAATAGAATGCCAGAAAGTAACTGCAGTTGGCATATGAATTCACATCCCCTCCTCATTCATCATAATAATTTTTTGCTGAATTCAATATTTATAAAAATTTATAGTATTTGGCAGAATTTTGTTCTTTCCTTGACATGGTCCACTCCCTCTTTTTAACTTTATTTTATTCCACTTTTTGATCTGGTTTCTCCCCTCTTTGCAAGTCTCCTCTACCTTATCGAAACGTTATTCGCATCAATTTTATGAATTTCGTTAGTCTAAGTCCGGTTTAAGATAGATTTGTTTTACAATGCTAGGTTGCATAGAAACGAAAATAGAAAAAATTACTTATCAAAGTTTTCACATATTGAGTTTTTAAAGTGTTTTGATTTGATTTCATTAAAATTAGTCTTATAGAAGTTTTCATTCAACAATTAATTATGGAATAATTGAATTAATATCCTTAAAATTACCGAAGGTTTTGAAATGACCTTGTGCCTGCAGCTGTTAGGCGATGGCATCCGTTATATTCTTACATTATGGTACTCTTGTCATTAGTTATGAGCTGTGTTTGTGCTGCCATTGTCTTTGTGTCCATGAGTTTAGTAGTGATGGAACAATAAAAAAGACACTGAGATACTGTTGGATGTAAATTGTTGCGTGCACCTAACGATCGAGTCACGTTAATTGCTTGGTCGACAGTATCTTGATCTCGAGAAGAACGTAATTTAAGTTGATATGAAAGAAGAAGAAGATGTTATAGACTTATAGCTTGATAAGCTATGAATCATCTTGAAACCAAAGGGTGCTATCAGGAACATGAACAAGTTTGGTAAATCTTGGAATTATCTACTCAAAACATTAATTATTTTGAATTATATATGAGAAATTAAATCAAGGTTGTAATCATTTTTATGATGACATTAAAACTTGTTAGAAAAGAAAAGGATTTTTACAAAAATTGAATCATCCCTTGTTTGAATTAGAGAGCGAAATTATCTCTTCATTAAATACAACGGATTAATCATTAATGGAGATGAAGCGTGCCAATAAATAGAAGGTCGAGAGTAAAAATGTCAAGAAGCAGTTAGGCACAAAGATTATACGAGTGTCAAATCTTATGATGAACCCTGAAATTTTGCAGTTATTGATTTAAATGTCGAAAAATAGTGGTTGAGCACTCGTATGTACAAATATAATAAGTTTTGACCTTCAATGCAATTATGTAAATAAGAATAAGTTTTGATGGTTGTTACTTAATCCACCATCACTGGAGATTAATGAGGTAAAATGTGACAATAAATATTCCTTAATTTAAAAACTACAAATATTCTTATAAACCTCCAAAGAATTTTACTAAAATAGAAAGAGTTCTATCGAATACTACTCAAAAACACTCAGCTTAGAAAAGTGCAAAAATCCAGATGGTCATGCCAATATGGAACCTGCACATACAAAAAGAGAAGAATATTGACAATGACTAAAATGAAAAAGAAATATGTGGAGAAACGTTGTTCGATAAGAAAATTAGACAAAACTGAACAATATTGTCGAAGAAGAGATTAAACTTTGTTCATTATATTGTTCAGTCGTCTAATATTGCATCAGTGCACATTTGGTACGATAGATTAGATAGATTTCTTGATTGTCCAAACTTATTTAATATTTATTGCATAAAAGCTTTATTACCAGCTGCCTATCTGAGACATCTTAACGCTAGCCGACGGTGTAGCATGTCGAGTTGAACCTGGAAATGGTTTTGGGGTGGGTGGAGGAAGAGGAGATGGTGCCGTACGTGTTCTTCCCTGTACAATAAAATATAATCTGATTGGTCCAAGATAACTAAATTAGATTAAATATGGATAGTTATTGTTGGGTTTTTTGATACCCAATAAATCCGGGTTATGATGTAAAACCGATATTGGATAAATTATAACGACACTTTAGTGATGGCTCGACCCGAAAACAATTTAGGGCCACTCGAAGCAACTTAATTAGTTAATGTTGCTCGTGGCCCAACACTCGTGGATGATCCAAGTTATTGGGTTGGATGGTGATTTAGTGGCACAATTAATGTCTTGGCCCAATAGTGTGACCTAATATCCATCCTATACATACCTATTTATCTTCTTTAACTAAGGGTGGGTGATTTGTGTGGGAAGAGGGGGAAAACCGGCTGCCCCTTGGTGGGGAAATCCAGCCAACTTGGAGGAAGAAAACCGGCCAGCTTTGTAGTTCAAAACTGGTGGTTATACTTTGTGTATTTGTTTCTTCCTTGCCTCCTTTATGGTGCCCCTTTTCTTTTGCCTTTGTGGCTACAAATCACCACCACCATTGTCTCCTTTGTGGGGATAAAACTAGTGGCAACCGGAGTGTGGAGTTGTGGGTCGAGCCTTGGTGATTGTGGTGTCTATTGGTTGTTGACTGAGCTCGGTTTGGTGTTGATTGGAGACCCAAAATCTTACAGTTATGAAAGAAACTGATCGCAAAACAAGAGATTTCGTGGGGGTGGTCTCTCTTTGGCAGGGTTGGGATCAAGATCATAAACTCTAACGTAGAGTTCTTGTCCTAAATACCAATGTTTTAGGTTTTGTGACCTTAAATTCCACATTCCAGGGTTATCTAGGTAGACATAAACTGCACTCCATCCTCTTGGATACACCTGATCATTGATATCATCGGATGTGAATGTAATCGAGACAAAATACTAAAGAAGGAATGCAGCTACGAAGAAAAAGACGGATTTATTGTGATAGATATTTATAGAAGGAAACATTTTAGAATAATTCACCTGAACAGTTGAGCGTACAACTGGATCATAGACGTTGTATGTAGAACGTAATACCGGTGTCCACCGTCCTACTCCATACCTACAAAAGAAAAAAATTACAACGTGTTTATCGATGATTGAACTAAATTAAAGAAGTGATTAGCCAAGGAAATCTAATTTTCGACCAACAAAAGAAAAAAATTACAACGTGTTTATCGATGTTTGAACTAAATTAAAGTAGTGATTAGCCTAGGAAATCTAATTTTCGACCCGCTTTTGGGCAAGATCTTTATTTATCTAGTCGAACTGATCGGTCCACATTGATTTTTCATATAAAGGGTTAAAAGTAGCCTTAGATTATGTAGTGTTATTAACACTTACCCAACAACAAAGAATCCAAATTCATCCAAATGCCAAGAGTCCATTGAATCCAAATCATTCTTGAACACAATCTCCAACCAGTTCTTATGGGTCCCCGTTACAACAAATGTTCCATGGACGGGTGCTTTAAGGCTAGAGTGAATAGGAAAGGTATCAAGTTGGTAAACATTGGAGTCATTATTGTAGTAATCAGCCAATTTTAATGGAGTAGTCGGAGTATTATAGGACACATTGTTGACAGTGAAACGAGAAAGCCCATTGATTTTAGCAAATGATCCATGAAGAACAAATGTCTCTGATGGCGTCATGTTCCATACATTGAACGTCCTTTGTGGGTTCGGCCTTGCTGCCCTTGTCGTCAAGTTCCACCTAATCGAGCATATCAAATATTGTCAGTAGTTCAAAATATCAATTAAAAATACACAACATGCCACAAATATAATTACCTGATGGATTTAGCTTGATTGATGGAGAAAGAAAGATCAAGTGGATCATGCCCAATTGGTAGCGGCCCCTTAGCAGGCTTGTTTGAGTTTTCGGGTGTGTTTGATGAAAAATTATTTTGGAAGAATGTATTTTGGAATAATAGATTGATGGAAAATATGTGGCTGAAAAAGAAGGAAAAGTTATTGATGTGATGGAAAATATTATTTTAATGAAGAATGTGTGGTTGAAAATGAGTAGAATAATGAGAATGAAAATTTTAATGAGTATCAAACAGGGGATTCATAATGTCAGATCCCAACAACAGAAATGGATGTCTGATTAATCATATTAACATATTTAGGGCTTGCTACTATGTAATAATCAGCTGGCATCTGATCTGCTGTGACGAGCACAGAGTAGGACTGGCCCACATGAATATCAAGAGAATCTGCTATGATCTGATTGGTGTATGATCCCTCCGTTTCAACTATCACCATTTTATGATTTTGAATCCTGAAATTCATACTCCATGCATTGCCAATGTTTGAAACCCTAAAACGATACGTTTTTCCTACAAATGCACGGAATCAAATCTACCGTAAGTGGAAACTTAGAGCAATCGTTCTTTGAATACGTATACCAACTTCTTGTTGGATAATTGTTTCAAAAACTTTATGAAATAGAATATTGGATTGAGTATCGAATATGCAGAATAAATACCGTATTTACAGTAAGCTTAAACACTATATTTCCTCATATCATTTTGCATACAAAATGACTGTAACAAATTTAATTAATATAACAGATTCATAAACGATTTATAAATTTCAACAAATAATTAAACGAGAACTGCAAAATACTAATATGCAAAACGAATAACAAAAAGGAACAAAAAAGAACTTTTAACCCAAGGCTTGTGTTACACACAGTTTCCTTAAAACATATTTGCCCACTCACTGTACGTGTTTGAGGTATAATTTGAGCGTCTGATTCCCAAGATACTACGGTGGAACGATAGAATCTGAGCAACACAGATTTTACTCTAGCAAACTGAGGTAGATCCCGAACAATATCACCATCAGACTCAAACAGAAACAAAAACAGAGACAACACTTAAACTGTATGCAGATGAGGAGTTTTAGGAGTTTCAACTGTTTCAGAAAATGAAAAGTCAGTTGAAAAATAAAATAAAATGTAGGCTCTTCTAAGGGGCCAATTTTTTGTCTATCCGGTTCGACATTCGTGTACGTAGTCGCGTCTACACACAAGTTCAAGGTCCGATGCTTATGTCGGTCCGTGATTTGCACCTCCCCTGCGCGCGCATGTGGAGAGAGCATTTATGCTATACATGATTACATCATTCTAAAGTGCAATCCTTTATAAAGTAATTTTAGTTTCCATCCACTTCCTTTGTGGGACAAACTTATTTTTAGTTTTTCCACCAACATAAACTCCTTTCACATAGCATACTTTGAACTTCAATTTCTCATTCACCCGATCATCATTTTTTACAAGTAAATATATGATTTCGATGTACTCACGGAGGAGAACACAAATCAACTTTCATCTTCCAAAATAGTCAAACGGGTCCCGCTCAAAATTCATGTCAAAGTCACCTACAAACTCAATTTTTCCAACACTACTTACCTTGTGATATGGTGAAGTTTTCGTGGACTTTTGCAAGTGGGGTCCAAGAATGAGCCTTTCCCATTCATCAGCATCAGATGAGGTTGGACGTGCTATGCAGCTTTCCTAACATCCTGTTATTTTGGCCCAAAAGGGTCAATACGCGAACGAAAAAGAAAAAAAAAATCGAATAATTAATATGTGAACGTGCTTCGACTTTCTAGTGGTGTCAAATGAGTCAGTCTCAACTTTCCAACAAGAGAACTCAAACAGCTTTAATCATCCGATTTTGTTGAAAGTTGTAGCATTTGCAAATATTTGCATTTTTGTTAAGTAATTTTAATCATCTGTATTAGTGAGAAGTTTAAGCATGAATTACCTTATAACTTTGTTGATACCAATCACCGATAAGAAGATCAAACTCTGCTTCGGGCTTGGGAAATGGCACTTTAATAACAATCCGATTGTTGACTCATAATGGGCCGAACCCACCACCGGCCCGTTGAACAATAAAAGAAGAAGGTACCAATTTGGTCCTTCACTTGGAAAACATAAGTCCAATTCTTACCGGGCTGGATCGGGCAATTTGTACCCGAAACTCCATCTTGCCACGAGTTTAGTCTTTGTTGCACTCCATTCCTGCACCAATATTCGTAAAAGACATATTGGTAGATGGGCGTAGATAAGGGGGCAATCCTGGACTTTAGCTTATGACAGTTCAAGCCCAGTTATTTTTTTCAAATTATGTACTAACTCAGAGCAAAAAATAAATAAAATTGTCCTCTCTCGACATCGTATCAAAAATTATTAAAAAAGAAGAAGAAGAAGAACAAATTTACCAAGTCGAGCAATGGCTAATCCATGTCGTTGTGAACATTGATATGGATATTATCGTTGGTCGTTGCATTAATAAGAGGTCCGGGAAACATATTATTGATGGTAATAACCTAGTAAAACAAACACATTTCTCATAATTAATTAATAAACTTGCAAAGAAATAAAAAATAAATAAAAACAAAAAGTCCAAAATTATATTTGTACCGGTTGATCTCGTAATACAGTGTTGATGTTTGTGTTAATCGCGACGTACCACTCTTGAAAAATCCGTGCTCCGTTCACCACTGTGAAAAGTAGCTCGCTTAAACTCATGCAAAGAACTAGCCACCGCTTGCTACGGCGCAAGTCCCCCATCTCTCACGTAGGAGTAGAAGGGTTTCGTGTCTCCGATTATTAGATGGGAGGTGGTGCAACTTCTCCCGTTTTTATAACCTTATAGGAAATTGATAGCTCTCGGAATCCTAATGGAAGTGGCGAAACATTCAGGGTATAGTTAGAAGAAGAATTGAGAAGAAATTAAAGTGCTTAAGATTTCGTTAACAGAGAGAATTTTAGTTTAAGATAAAACTAAAATAGTTAGATTGGCTTTTGTTTCTTGTAATCTTAAGAACAATGAATTCGTTTTACGTAGTACAACTGTAACGTGTTTATTGATAACTATAGATATTTAATACAAATAAAATCGTTATTGGGTCCGGCTCGTCTAATAAAAGTCAACAATAACGACCAGTTTTTCAATTTTAATCCAATTTTAATCTCTACCGAACACACTCTAATACAGCAGTGCAGATAGGAGTCATACTTTTTTAAAATAAATAAATAATAAATGGTGCACATATCAAATTTTATATAAAAAATAATAATAATAAATTTTACTTGTGCATGAAGAAAAGTGATAGTGATTTAACTTTATTTGTCTCTAATAATTTGTGTTGGATAATTATAGTTATTAAAGCAAAAGTGGTCATAAGAAATCCTTTCCATTCCATGAACACAGTGGCTTTATAACCCCCAAATCTCATTCTATCTATGAAGCTCCTGTGGGATTGCTCAGTGCCACAACTATGCCCATTGATCCTAAATAGGCGACCAAAAGATTAGCCCAGATAAAAAATTTACGTTGCGTTTGATTTGTTGTTCTTAAACGATTTTTAAATTTTGTAAAATATTCGAAACTTGTTTGATTTGATTTTTTTGAAAATACAATTTCAAAAACGGAATTAAACTTACGAACGTTTTGAGTATTTTCAGTGAAAACTCTATAAACACTCAAACCGTGGAAATAAAATTCTAAAAAATAAAATTCTTAAATTCTTAAAATAAAAATTCAAAAACAATTTAAAATAAAAAATGGATAGATTCTAAGAAATAAAAAAATAAAATTTTGAAAAACTAAAAAAATTAAATGTAAACAAATTAAATCCTTTTTTTAAAAGAAATAAAAATAGCTCAACCTCTTAATGGTTATTCACTAAAAAAATTCTATAAAAAAAATATTTAGATGAATACAGATAAAAATTCTCAGTCCACACTATTTTTACTGAACAAATTATATTTCTTGATAATATATTAATATAAAATTGTTCTATTTTACTGAACAAATAAAATTTATAGAATAAAATATCATAAAATAATTTCTCAAAATTGTAAATCAAACACGTTTTTAAATTTCTATTTTGAGAAAAAAAAAATTCACGAAATGCATTTTTAGCAATCTTAAAACCGATTCTAAAAATAGAATATTGAAAAAAAAATTCAAAGCTAAAAGCTAAATACAAACGAAACAGGCCCTTAAATTTTGCTTGAAATAATTTATCATCAAATAATTCACTTACTAGTTTATATTAATGGCATGAATTTTGCTCGTTAACTAGGACATTTCATTATGAATAATGTTATTCATTATTAATTATAATCATCGTCATTTGTAGGTAGCATTAAGTTTCCGATTCATTATTCAATGAACTTGTGACGATAACAATCAGGGGGCTCAATAATGATCACAATTAATGATGAATAAGATTAATTTTTGAATGTGTAAAGTCGAATATAATGTGCAATCTTCTTCACAATAAAAACATTGTAATTATTTTCTTCGATATAACACAGTTATACAATGACATTAAATGGACGTAGTTAACAAATTATGCATTTTTCAATTTCACATTATTGTCACTCTCGATCATGTAATGTGAGCGATTAACCTATAAATGATTTTAGTTATGGCTTCCTTATTTATTAAAAGATCTTTTTCATTTGAACCCAAAAGAAAGAGTCTTTTGAAAAGTAGTATGAGTATCCCAATATGAATATCCAAAGGAAGAAAAGAGGAGGGAATGCTTCTTCTCGAAGTAAACACGCCGAGCGAATATTTAGCAAAAACTATAAAACGATGAGAAACAGCCAACCGAAACCATCTTTTTCTTGATTATCGATTTCCGTGTCAAGCAAGCATTTCATACCACACACCACAGTGCACTGTGCACTCCTCCATTTCTTAATCCACGGGCCCAAAAAAAAAAAAAGGAAAATCTCATTTTTCTCATGTGCACTCCTCCATTTCTTAATCCACTGTCCCAATAAAAAGAAAATAGGAAAATCTCATTTTTCTCCTTTTCGTTTCCTTTCAAACCTCAACTTTACTTGCCTTCTAATCTTCTTCCTTTTCACCAAACCCACAACTATGATTACTCATTTTCATGATGGATATTGATTAAGAGTCTTGATTTGTTGTTTATTTTGGATTATAACTAGTCTGGGAGTGAAGATGGGTCAGGAGGTGGTGCCGATGGCGGCGGGTATGGGGGCGCCGCCACCGACTTCTTTGGCTCCAGGGTTCAGGTTTCATCCTACAGATGAGGAGTTGGTGAGGTACTATCTGAAGAGGAAGGCCTGTGGAAAGCCCTTTCGGTTTCAAGCTGTTACTGAAATTGATGTCTACAAATCTGAGCCCTGGGAGCTAGCTGGTATAAATATTTACATACACAAATGCATGAATATACTTTTATACATATAATTGATACAGATATACGAGTTTTTATTTAATTTTTCAGTGATATAATATTGATGGGTGTCACGGGTCTTTCGGGACTAGGGTGTAAATATGTAGATCTTGGAACTATCACTGTTATGGATTGCCTTATTTTTCTTGGTTTTTGGAGCTTTTGGAATTTTGATGAGATAAATTATTTGTGGATATGTGAATTATACTTCAGGGTGAGCGAGATAAGACTTTAGTCCGTAAAAGAAGTTAAAGAGTGCTAATGGAATGAAAAAATGAAAAAAAAAAATGATCTTTTTATATTGTTGAAGTGGCTATAGATAGGATTTTGGAACTGATTATGAGATAGATGAGAAGTTAGTGGTACGGAATGAAAGAACGTGTGAGTGTCTGCTAACCTATTTGTGAATTGAGAATAGGGAGTTTTCTTTGGATGTAGATGTGCTGATTTTCATTCTAGTCTTCTGTGAAATGAGTTCTTTGCTTGCAGTAGATTGTGTTGTTCAAATGGTCATTTTTTGTGTTTCTTCGTTTGCACAAATGTTTATATTTTCCTGTCTTTAAAAAGCTAAACTGATGAATACTTTGGTCTCATGATCTTTGTCTTAAAAGATTATTCATCGCTGAATTCGAGAGATCAAGAATGGTATTTCTTCAGTCCCGTGGATAGGAAGTATGGTAATGGGTCTCGGCTAAATCGTGCAACTGGCAAAGGGTATTGGAAAGCAACTGGGAAGGATCGATCTGTGCTTCACAGAAACCAAACTATTGGAATGAAGAAAACTCTTGTTTTCCATAGTGGGCGAGCTCCTGATGGAAAGAGGACGAACTGGGTAATGCATGAGTATAGGCTTTGCGATATAGAATTGGGAACGGCTGGAGTTGCACAGGTGTGGGTGGTGACGTTTAGAAGTTAAATTTAGCGTGTTTTCATTTTCATCTGTTTTGAATGTTATGGATCTTTAAAGAAATTTCTCTTTGTTGTTTTGCAATGGAAAAGGATGCATTTGTTCTTTGTAGAATCTTTCAGAAGAGTGGTTTAGGACCACCCAATGGGGACCGATACGCACCTTTTGTTGAGGAGGAATGGGATGATGATGTGGCCCTTGTGGTTCCTGGAGGTGAGGCTGAAGATGATGTGCCCAATGGTGATGAAGCAAGATTTGAGGGCAATGACCTCGACCAGGTTATTCTCTATCCTTCTCTTTCTTCTTTTCCATTTTAGGGAACCTGGTGTTCTAAGTTTCATTCCTTTACAGGTAAAAATCTTTTATCTGTTCATTTCACTTCCTTCATGAGTATCTACTTTTTATTGTTGCAAAATTCATTACTGATGAAGTCTATAAATGTTTTGCCTGGTTGCATTATTTTATATTCAAGTTGCAGTCAATGGTGCCTACATTGAACTGGAATTTTGTGCAACATGTTTTCCCTAGTTTAGGAAATGTTTCCTTGCCCTGTATTGAGGAAAAATGAAAGAAAATGGAAAAAGAAAAGAAGAATTCTTCTTGTTGAACAAAATATGACGTTATATTCTTGTTGCAACATTTCACATCAGTATAGTATAGGCTAAGTCATACTTCTTAGCTTGTAGGGCAATAAGTGTCCTCAATATTTTTTTGGTTGCTTGATTTTTATTATATGAGCAAGCTACAGTAACAAACGCATTGATCTCATGCCACAAAAAGTTTGTTCTGTGAAGTGAAGCATTTTTAGAATCAGATACCTTGTAGGCTTGTAGACGTTGGTAGAAAATCAGATATTACTAGCTTGATCTTGCGGGTGTTAGGTATAGAAAACAGAAAAGATCTCACGAAATGGAATAGAATAGAATAGATTTCAATTTGATAGTGTTTGGCTCTTAGATCAAGCCCAGATAATAAGTGTGGAGAAGTTAGAAAACTAAAGATATGAACTCTCATTTTTCATATTTACAAAGAAAGTTGCTTTCATTAAAATTACATTGATCAATTTTCTATAACCATCACGTTACATTCTTGGATTTATGACACAGAGTTGAGATCATATTGGATATCATTAGATCTAACCGTAGTTAACTAGAACTGATATACTAATCTACAAATTTCCTGGCTTTTAAACACTGTGTGAGGTTCGAGGAGAAATGAGTGAAAACAAGGTTAACCATCGTTTGCACTAGTAGATGAAAACCGTACTTGATTTGGTTTGCAAGTTAGTTCTACATGTTTTTTCTTTCTTATTGATCAAAGAAGGTATGGAGCAGTTTGGACCTTTAGATGACAACACAGTTAAATTTTGAGCACTGTTTCAAAGTTTTATGTATTTTTCACGTGAGATAGCTGCTCGAAATATTTTTTTCCTATATGATGGTACTCCTCAAGTGCATATTTCTTCCTTCCAGTGGTTTCTGCATGGTATAATGAATTTGATGCTCCCATATTCTATTTCTTTTCGAGTAAAACCTGAAGGGTCCCCATTCTTTACACTGTGCGGAAAACCTCCCTGAACTTTAAACTGGACTTCGTTAATCACTCAACTTTAAGTCATGAACCCCGTTAGTCCTACAAAATAATTCTGTCCAAAATTACTGATGGATGACATAAATGGATAAGAAAAAGATGACGTAACATTCCATATTACGTTACTTTGACACCTAATGATAAAGTTGCTCCATTTTTCTGGAGGAAAATAGGCTTTGATACTCAAGCACGAATGCACTTCAGAGAACTGGTGTGATTTTACCCTTATTGGTGTATTAGGTGTCAAAGCAACATTTGAATCTTTGATAGGATGCATTGTTATCAATCTGTTGTCTATGTAGGACGTCAGTGGACGAAATTGTTTTTGGGACTAATGTGGTTCATGAATTAAAGTTAAGGGACTAACAAAGTCCAATTTAAAGGCGGGGGGACGTTTTTCGCACATTCGTAAAAGTTTGGGTAAATAACTTCAATTTATAAACATCATGATTAGATTATATCTTTACTCTAAACTTGTGGCAGGATACCCGTCCTCACAGCATGGACTCGGTGCAAAATCTTATCTTTCTTTGCAAGAGGGAGATATCAGAAGATCCCGAACACCTCTGTTTAGCTCAAAATAAAAGATCAAAGCATGATAATGTTCCCAACTCCAGCCATGCAAATGGATCAGAAGATTCAACTACAACAAGCCAGGATCCCCAGACAATGATGATGACGACAAATTCTTCCCCTGCACTTTTGGAATTTCCTTTATTAGAGTCAGTCGAACTCAAAGAAAATCAAAACAACCAACCTACATTTGACTCTTCTAACCTGGAGAAATCCCTTCCCCCTGGGTATCTGAAATTTATCAGCAACTTGGAGAATGAAATCCTGAATGTCTCCATGGAGAGGGAAACCTTGAAGATCGAAGTGATGAGGGCTCAAGCCATGATCCACGTTCTCCAATCACGCATTGAAACATTGACCAAAGAAAATGAGGAGTTGAGACATCATGTCCGGGAAGGGTAATATTCGTGGTACCTATATATTCCCATGTAACATTATCCAATTGTCCGTGTCTTCAACACTAGAAGATGAGACGAGCAATGGGCCTTGAGACACCTCAATGTTCACTGTGCCTATGCAATCCTCGTGTAGTTTTTTAATGTGGTCTGAACAAATCCATCAGTCGACAATGCTTTCAATTTTTGAATTGACTTCTTCAATAAAAGTCTAGTTCTAAGTTATTCTCATGTTGTTGCTTTCTTGATGCTGCTTGTGTCACTCTGGAAGCTCAGAACAGGTTTTATAGAACGTCATATTACTTGGAGGGGAGTGTATATGTAGTATCGTAATTTTGAAAGTGCTTTTAAAACTTTGCAATCATCTTATTGATGTCGTCGGCTTCACTACAAATAGTGTGATGCGTCAATTTGAGGTTCAGTACAGGTGTCATCTTCGTATTTTATCATGAATGGGTGGGACATGTCGTGTTTATGAAACAAAAGGGGTGTAATTTGATTGTATTGAGAGGATCAACTCATCAACCACAAACCATCATTCCTTTCATGTTTAACGTTTTCAGGAACAATCAAATCATGCGCAAGCTCAATGAAATAGCTAGCACTAATAATGGCGAAACAAATATACTTTAGTTAGGTTTTATTAGTTATTTCATGTAAGTAAAAGTCGTTATCAAAGCACACGCGAGCGGAGTAAAAAGCGTGGCTCATAGCCAATCAACGAGGGACATATCAACTAATGATTAAAGCGTGAATAGAGAACAAATTTTAGTTATACATCAACCAATCAGTAAGTGTCATACGTCACCAACTAAAAATACCTATTAACCCCCGAGACCTTACTAGAAATTTATAAATAGACATAGTTGGGATGAAGAAGGGTCCGTTTGACAAGACTTTTGCTTTTGCTTTTAGTTTTTGGAGGAATCTCCCTTAATTTTTATAAAAACTAAATTATAAAAGCACTTCTTATTTTAGAAATGCTTTTTGATAAAGTCACATTTGACTAGTTTTCTTTAAAAGCTCTTCCAACTAGTAAACTTTTTTTCTTCATAAAATTAGTCAAATTGATTCAAAAACTGTTTCTGAATCTCAGAAGTTCCTTTTGATTTTTCAAAAATCATGTCAAACGGTCCCAAAATGTATGCAAAATTTAGAAGCTTCTTCCTAAATAATCATTTCTCGTTTTGCTTCTATTTGAGCATATTGAATAAGAAAATTTAAGAGGAAAAAGTTGTGATGGGGTAATAGAAATTCTTTTGGACGACGCTGCAGTGTCACCCTCCTTGACAGAACAGACACATTGGGAGGGGGTGGGGCCTTTTTTGTCATTTTTTATTACACGTCGGTCCCACGTCGGTCCTATCCTCTTGTGAGGGTCGGTCACCCAGGTGGGTGCACCTCTTCTGGCACACTAGCAAAATTCAATTTTTTAATTATGATCAACAACATTTTTAAAAACTGTAAGAGAGCACTATACAATTATTTTCAAAGAACCTTCTAAAAGTAGTTCGAATGACATGGCGTTGGTCAAGCCACGCCAATGCTGACTTCAGATCCTTCCAGGAAGACCATTAACCTACCTTTCACTCCCCCACAATCCTATACCCTCTGAATTCTTGGAATTCAAAATTCTCCCTAAAAATTCATTAATATCTGATTAATTTTTTCTTGATTTGAATGGATTGTAAGGACAAGAAATCATCTTCTGTATCTTTTCTGGGTCCGGGCTTCAGGTTCCATCCCACTGACGAGGAATTGGTGCGATACTATTTGAGGCGAAAAGTCTGCGGAAAATCTTTCCGATTCGATGCTATTTCTGAGATCGATATTTACAAGGTCGAGCCATGGGATCTCCCTAGTATGCACTTCCCAAACCCTTTCTTTATATTTATAATATTTTGTGCGTGCTGAGATATTTAGAACTCTATTTGGTGTTCATTTTCCTTTTCTTTTATTTATATTTTTTTGGGGTGAGAGAGTATTGAGATATGCAGATTAGGAGTAGCCCAGGTATTTATAAGTTGAATTGCCGTTTTTATATGAAAGGGACACCAATTTTGGAATCTGACTTCTCGGGCCTCCCTGTAGGCGGATCGAATTGCTCGATCGATCATTGAAAGGTCAACCGTAGGAGGCGTAGCACAAGTTTAAATATTATTGTTTCAATATTTTTGTTACTTAGATTTTACCGTCCATAGGGAGATTGTTGTTCAATAATTATTCTTCTGTATATATTAACTAGTAAGGTTTATGTACAAGCAAGGTCCTTTTAAGGTAGTGATTGATATTGTAACGCCTTTGTGGGATGATATTTTGTATCGAATTAAGAATTATGGGACTTCATTTTTATGTTTGTATGTGTGCATTTGTAAGATAATATACATATTGGGGATTTGACGGAAAATCTTTTGGCGTAGAATGACTTTCTTTATCTGCTTCTTGGAATTCAATGTAGATCAGATATCGTAAGAAGGTTTTGTTGCCAAAATATGTGGCAAGGCCATTGTTTAATCTCTTCATTTACCATATAATAGTGAAATTTTAGGAATTGAGATTTTATTGACTTAACTATGGACGGAATAATTTATTTACCTTGCTTCATTTTATTCTATGATAACTTGGAAATTTCATTAATCCTTTGTCTAAGGTTGTATAACAAGGAAGTACTTAGGCATTGTTAATCCATAGAGGAAAGGGAACGAGGAGAAGAAATATCTAATGAAAAATGATTACCTTCGATTATCTGCTACCAAAATGAAAAGCAGGTTAGCTTTTACTGAATATTGTTGAAAATGAAAGCAAGTAATGATATTTCTCTCCTTTATTCATGTCTCCGTGATCCAACGAATTGTGATTTTATTTGGAATTGAACATGGGAAAAAAAGTTCAGTGCTCCATTTGCTTTGTCAATTTCATCCAGGACAAAATTGGAGACTCAGTAGTTTTCCGATTTCATGTCATCTCACTCTCACTCCTCTTGATTCCATTTTAGTTGCGTAAAACTAAATTTAATTATCAGCATCATCATCATTATTATTATCAGCTGTCAAGATTGCTCTTTATTATATGTACAACTCCATATCTGTGTATGTGTATGCTTATGCACGCAATGATTTAGCCACCTATATGTTTCACCTCAGATATTTAAACATTTTTTATTTTGTTTTTCTAATAATTCCTTATTCCAAATGATTTTTCATTCAAATATGGTGGTTTTCTTAGGTATGTCTAATCTGAAGACTAGAGATTTGGAATGGTATTTCTTCAGCATGCTGGACAAAAAATTTGGTAATGGAGCAAGGACCAACAGGGCAACTGAAAAAGGGTACTGGAAGACTACCGGAAAGGACAGGACTGTCTACCATAAGTCACAGATTGTGGGGATGAAGAAAACTCTTGTTTATCACGAAGGCCGAGCTCCAAAAGGCCTGAGGAGTAACTGGGTTATGCATGAGTACCGGCTTGCTGATATGGAGTTGCAGAATGCCAGAATTAATCAGGTGGGTGCACATGACTGTGTATCTCGAACTTTTAAATTATTCTTTGCCTTTGCCTTTGCCTTTGCCTTTGCCTCTACCTCATCAACTCATGTTTGAGCTGACAGAATTATTGTGGATGATGAATGTCTAACGAGTGATACGGTGTATGGGGATTTAGGAAATAGTAGTAAGTTTGAATTAACCAATAGAATAAGTAAATTGGCAGTAAGTCTAAAATCAGATAATTTATTATTATTGTTGTTGTTGTGATCATATAGTCGTTTTTTCAAGATTATTAGTAATTAGTGTTATGGATTGTTTTTATTATGGCAAGAAATATTATTGCAATCACTATCGTTAACCAAAAACTTATTTTGAAGGATTATTTGTTTCACACTCTTGATTAATTTTGTTTATTATTGGTGTATTTTTTGGTGGAGAAGGATGCTATCGTGCTTTGCCGAGTCTTTCAGAAGAGTGGTTCGGGACCAAAGAATGGCGAACAGTACGGGGCTCCATTTATTGAGGAGGAGTGGGAGGATGATGAGCTGGAATTGGTACCCAAACAGGAGGCTGCCGAGGAAGTAGATTTTGATGATGATCTCTATTTGGACGGCCAAGACCTTGAGCAGGTTTTTGCTCTTACCATTATATCATGTTGTATACTAATTTAACAACGTTTGGATCTAATAAGGGCTCACTGTAGAAATTGTGAAGAGTACTTGTTGTTTTGGTCCACAACATTACTTATTTAGTGATCTTCATATGGTAAAGTGTTCTCTTTGCTAGATTCTTGGAAACAACATTCCGTCAGATGATACTCCCGTTCCATTGAACACCTACTCTGCAGACAATGCCAGCTATGAAGGAGAAACCAGTGAGTCCAATAGTGGAGCCCAACTGCGCATATTTGACATTGGTGAACATGGAAGTGAACCTGAAAAGCGTGATGACCAGAATCTGTATGATTTTCCAGCTTCATATGATACTGTTGTAAAACCTGTGAGGCATGAATACATGGTTGAATCGAGCGAGCCTAGGAATTTCGAGGAAGTGGATTACTTACTTGATGAACCATTCCTGAACACTTCAGATATCGTTCAATATGGTGGTGATGGAGGATTCAATGAGACGAATGATCTCTCAAATTCTGGTGCATTTGATACATCTAATTTTGATGCGCTGGAGTACCTTACATTCTTCGATGCCAATGATGACAACTCACAGTATCTCTCTTATGATCTTTCAAAGATGATGGAAAGTGAGGATCTTATATCTGATCAAGCATTCCTTGCTCAAAAGGTAACATTATCCTTCGAGCTTCACTGTCTTTTACTGGTTCAAGTTGCAATTTAGTACTTAGGCTTACGTTATTATTCTTTGCCAGAACGTTGATGAAGGAACTCAACAAGCTACAGTGTCAAGTGAACAACCCATTGATAGTACAAGTAATGATGCAGCATTGTCATCTAAGGAAGAGCTGGCAAAATGTCAGTCAGGTACTTAATGAAAAATTACGCTATGCAACTTCTTGTTTCCTGGCTCGTTGACTCGTTTGGTAGGGTGGGCTGGATAATACTAACAAGAAAAATAATTTAAAATCTCATTCATTTTGTCCACTGCCGTGTCCCAAATCTCAAGCATTTCGCTTCTGCATTTACTGTTAACAATTATAACAAATTTTTTTTCCTGGTATCTGATTTGGGTATACCTTTTAATGGGTGCAGATTTTCAGTATCCTTTCATCGAGCAGGCAAGTCATATGTTGGGCAGCTTCCCAGCTCCTCCAGCATTTGCATCGGAGTTTCCTTCAAAAAATGCAACTCTTCTTCTAAATTCTGCTTCCAGTTCAGCACATGTTACGGCTGGCATGATTCAAATAAGAAATTTGACAGTCAATGGCAATGAAACATACCAATCTTTCAGCAAGAACCTGAACTTCAATATTGTTTTTTCATTTGGCTTATCCCAAGGTAACAATGGTTCTGCTAACTTGGAATCACGGGTTAGCATACTTCCAGGGAAGACTGTTTCTGCAACTTCTATGGGTTGGTTAGATTTCATATTCTTGTGGGTTCTTATTCTCTCCATGAGCTTCAAAATTGGGACCTATATCTGTGGTTACACTTCAAGGTGTCTACCTCGGAATGTCGACCAGTCTAAAGACAGAGTAGCCTGGTGAAAAAGTTTCTTGGTGAACTCATAGACAATGTCTCTTTGAACTACAAGTTGACATGCTGCAGCATTGTTTGTTCTGAATTATGTTGAAGCAGTTGCTAGAATAATTAGTTTTTGGGTCTTGGATTAGGCCATCAACTGCGTTTAATCTATGAGCTAGATAGTGTTGTAGATTTATACTGGAAATTGAGACATGGCTTCTAACTTGGAAGCATTAACACACATGGTTTGTGTTTTCAATTTATTTCTATTCTAGCCTTCTATGAGTTCATTATATCCGTGGGGTCGACACTTTTATCGCGCATATTTGTTTGTGACTTCTAACAAGGTGGATTGCATGTTGAGAAAAAACAATTAAAAACGCATATTGTCGCATTTTTTACAAAATATTTATCAACACATCTACATTTACCTTTACAATTCACAACTTGTTAGCTATACTATATATAAAATAGTGTGAGTGATGGAGAAATATTTAGAGCAATCAATAAAAATTATTTAAAACAAAAAATAAAGAAATTGTTACTTGCTAATACATAAATGTATATGACCAATAAATCTACTAGAATTAAAATAACAAGAGGCTGCAATATTTTTTTTTTTTTTCGTAATTATTTACTATATTGTCTAAAAATATCTATAAAAATTAAATTTTATTAACTAGACGGGTAAAATATTTAATATTTATGATATTAAGATATTAGAAATTTATCCATTTGTATAATATTTATTAATTGAAGGAGTATATAAATAGTTTTTTTTCTATATCCTTATCCTTACAATATATAAAAGAGGAAACTTACTTGCACTATTCCTAAGCCATTTGGCCACCCCAGCCGAGCCGTTTTGGAGCAGAGTCATGTAAGCCGAGCCCATCCCCTTTCTTCTCCTGCCATTTCTTTCTCGATACGCTTATATGAATGCTACTATGGGCCTGTTTGGTACAGATTCTCATTTTCTACAGTAAATCAATTCTCATTTTCAACCACACATTCTTCAATAAAATAATATTTTCCATCACATCAATACTTTTTTCTTCTTTTTCAACCACAGATTTCCCATCATATCACTATTCAAAAATCAATTCTTCTCCCAAAAATTCCTGCCAAACACATTATGATATTAAAATATTAGAAATTTATCCATTTGTAATATTTATTATTTAAAGGAGTATATAAATAGTTTTTTTTATATATAAATCATTGAGAACATCGAAACCATTTAAGAAAGTGATGCCCCATTTGTCGTATTATAAACAAGACAAAAGTTCGAGGAATAAAATGTGAAGCTTTTCGAAAATGAAATGCCATGACTTAGTCACCTTGGTATAGCCGGCAAGTACGTACACTAGAAATGCGCTAAACGTCCCTTTAAACAAAGGCATTAACTATGAATTACGACAAACCAACACTTACAGCTTATTTATCCAAGATTTAGTTCAAAATATCCAAAGTGAAGAGGGCTCGATGGACGATGGCTACCAATGAAGAAGAATCCGTTAGCCTTGTACAAGCGTTTGATAAAAAAATCCGGGTTCAATTTGGAAACTGGAATCTACCATTCCCTTGTTCATTTGAGTGAAGTTGATAAGATCCCTACACAGCCTAATCTTGACACAGCTACATATGTGCTATCACAGTTCCCTCCTCTTGACCAAGCCGAATCCCGAGTAGCACTTATCGACTTCACCACTAATGAAAGACTCACTTATGCTCAACTCGACCGGTCCATTAGAACGCTTGCTGCAGGATTTTATCATGGACTAGGGGTGAGGAAAGGCGATGTTGTGTTTGTGTTATCACCAAACTCGCTATTGTACCCGATCATATGTTTGGCTGTACTCTGTGATGCAGCACCAATGCAATTCAAGCCAATAAACAGAAAAGAACAGGAGAAGCAAGAAGAAGACGCTAAAGTAGAAGAAGCCGTGAAGAAAGGGGAGGAAGAAAAAGAAGCGGGGACCAAGGGAAAAGTTGGCAACGGCCAATCTCAATTTTAATCAATCATCGTATAACTAAATTGTAATGTAAAAACTGTTTAAATAGTGAAAACCTAGTTGGGTTTGGGTCAACCCACTATTACAAACTCAATAATAATAATAAAAGCATAAATAATAAAGTCCAATAACAATAACATAAATAACAAAGCTCAATAACAATAAAAATACATCTCGATGTCTCGATGATGTCCGCATCAACTCTCCCGGGGTGGGAGAAAACTCGACCCTGTCGAGTGGATAAACTTTTATCACGGGGGACGATCTTTCATAAGAACCAAATATCGAAACTCCAGCAGAGTAATCAAGATTTGTTGAAACTTCTCCATAGGACTCCATGTACGGTCTGCGTCAGGTGAAACTACCCAACGAACAAGAAAGCACCAAATATCTCTACCATTGGTCAACACAATCTGTTTATCTAAAATAACATCAATTGTATCTTTATGTGCTGTGATAGAGGGTATGAAAGCAGTAATATCAACATATACAGGTTGGGAGTCCACAAAGCGAGATAGAAAATGATTATCAAAGGAATGGAAACGGTGTTTGTAAGTAATGAAGTCCTCACTATATGAAGCAGGGTGGTAGCCAAAATGTGAGAAAAGATCGATAACATGTGCATTTGGACCAACATGCTTTAAAATTTTAAAATGATCAGCACTATGAGCTTGCAATATAATATAATCCCCAATATTAAATTCAAAATATCGTTTCTGTAAAACATCTTGAAGTTTATATAATGCATTACTTGCTTCAAGTCGTTTTGTTGATCTCAATATGCAAATCATGAAAATGTTGTGCAAATGTTTCAACAAACATAAACACTCTAGCATGTGGGGACATGGGAATAAGATCTAAAGGCTTCATAGACTCATAACCATGAATAAATTCAACGGGACTCGTACTTATTGACCTATTCACAAAATTTTTAAACTTAATTTGAACTCATAGGACGATCAAATCCCAATTCCTAAGATTTTCCTTGAAAATTGCATGATTACGCAAATCGATAGCACATCTGGATTGGATAAGTGTGTGACATACAACACTTGACTGAGAGGTATCGGGGACAAGGGGTACAATACATTGATTCATAGGAAAAGTCTGAATACTACCTCCAAGTCATCAAATTCCTCAAGTTTAGGTTCGTAGACTTGATTTTCTAACTGATCATCTAGTATATTCTTTCGTTCTTCGATGACTAAGGCTCGGCTAAGATATTTGGAAGAGGTGTGACCAGATTTCTTACAGTTGATGCACTGCAAGTGTGACGAAGTCCTTGGAAGTTCAGAAAGTGTACCCTTATTTTTGAACGCAATAGGAACATTTGACGAGGAAGGTCTCCTAATAGACTTCAGAGGACGTGGCGCTGAGGAGATTGGTGTATGGTTGTTACCATGTTTTTTATATGGAGTATCAATAATCAACTCAAAATCTCAAGCTAAAGTGAAAGCATGATCAAGAGTAGTGACACCCCGAAGGAAAAGCTCACGCCTAAGATCATCTCTTAGACCTTGTCTAAACCTACTCACAGTTAGGGCCTCATCCTCAATAGCATGACATTTCATTCGAAATTCCTCAACTTCAGCAATATACTCAGTCACTAATCGATTCCCTTGTTTAAGGGCATTCCATTGAGTAAACATTTCAAAATCTAAGCAACCATCAAAAGTAGAAACACCTGCTTTATTATTTCTAAATGAACGCTCCTTATGACGTGGAAGAGAATGAATACTGCGACGGTCATAACCTCATTTTTGCTCCTGAACTTGACCCATATCCCTACGATCGTGTGGAAAATATTTTTGATCACTTTGTTGACGACGATAGTGGCTATTATGGGACACTTCATAATTATCAACATCAGTTGAATGTGGGGATTTCTTAAAATTATTCAGACTTGCAGCTAGGCTCCTACTCTCTCCAAGAGTAGCAGATATTTGGATTTGAATAGCTGTTATTTGATGAGTGAGTGCATCAAATTGCGAGGAGTCCATAGTTAATGTACTGAAACTAGAAGTGACAAGACAACCACTATGCAATTGTATGCACTGTATTAGCAGCTAAATGACGTGCAATGAAGATATCAATGAACAATAAGTGCAAGCAACGGAAAATAATAACTTGATCAATTTTTTTTTTGAAACTTTGGGATTAAACGAAGTCAAATACGGCAAGCTAATATTGCCGATACATATAAAATAACAAGCACACACCAAATACTAGTCAAAATCCGATCAAATAAAATAAGGGGTAAATGGGAATTGAACAAGTAGGGACTCGATCACGTGAAATTTAAGTAAAATAATGGGAACTCAACAAGTCAAGGGATTTGCTCACGTGATTAGGTAGACTTAGAACAATAGCAGCACAAAGAAATTAAGTGACGCTATTTTAAAATAAACAGTAATATAAACCAACGATAAATAAAATAGAAACTCCCCTTGTTCGTTCGTAGAAGTAGTCGAGCACCTAGTAGCTAACACCAAGTAATTGAGCACCAAAGACAAATGACAGCAGCTTCCAATTTTGTTCGCCAAAAAAACTGAACCGATCAGTAGGTCAACGAAGTACCTACAAAATGATATTAGAAAAGAAGTTTTTTTTCTCTCTCTCTCTCTCTCTAAACTAAAAGTTAAATTACAAAAATAGGGCCCAAAATCGAGCCCAAAACTAAAGTAAAATACAAAACTAAATAGGGGCCAAAGCTGAGGCCCAATAACCAAATGAAGACACACTAAATAAAAATGAAGGCCAACTGAGGCCCAATACTTAACTAAACAAACAGAACCAAAAAGCCCAACTGAGGCCCCATTTCCAAATCAAAATACCCACGACATACCGCGGCTAACCAAGGCTCAAACGAGGGATTTTTCAAAATAGCCGGATCAAATGACCCATTTGGGTTTTACGTGTAAAAGTCAATTTTGCCCTTAATAAAATGTATTGTTAATGTAAATTAAGACC